ACTATTATATGATTTATTCCAAAATACGGAAAAAATCTGAGAAGAAACACTTCTGTCATGAGTGTGACAAAAAAAAAATAACCTGCTTTTTCGAACAGAAATATTTTACGGAAACTCTGAGAATTTATTTCACTTTTCTGTGTGAACTTGATGTCTTATAAAAAAAACAAAGAACCACGAATACAAACAAAGCAAAAACTGCAACAAAAATTATGGCTTTATTATAAAAAAAAAATCCGGAACTCCTCCGTCACGGGTGGGACACGTACGAATTTTTATATGAAAACGAGATTAAAGTGTACTCCATATTAGAGATTAGTTATTTAAAAATATAAGAAGCCAAGTACGGGTTCAATTCAGTCACGTTTTTTCTTAGGATAGCGCCCTTTATATAGAAGCAAATGCCTAGCAAAGGTGGTCGCTGTGGTGTAGTGGTAAGCAGTGCACGCTTCCACTCCTCCTCATCTGAGCAGTGTTGCCAGTAACTTCGTTAATAAAATCCCGTCCAAATATAACATAAATCCCGTTTTGTACTAAAGTTATAACAGAAATCTCGCGCTACATGTATCTATTATACATTAAATGCTTTTAGATGAAGAAACACAAGCATGTACATAAGGGCGGGTCATTTTTTTTACTATACGCGTATAGCATAGAAAGATTCTACATGTAATTCGAAGCAAATTTGCTTAAAAATGTAAATGTGAAATTTTTCACTTTGCGTTCTCTGGTGAAATTTATAAGTAAAAGATAAGTCCAGAGAATGATTCCTAATATCAAAAAATTGCGTATAGCATGTTTTTGAACAAAATTAAAGCACTTTCTAACGGCACTACATCAAAATGATAAGAAACATATTTTTGCAATTTGGCAAACTCCAAATTGATTTTTGACCCATGATTCCTTCGGCAAATTTGCTTAGAATTACTCGTAGAATCCTGCTGTGCTATACGCGCATAGCCGAAAAATGTCCCATACGGCTCTGCTCAAAAATGGTGGAGAGCTATCATTGCTTTTAAGATGTGAAAAAATGTTTTTTTTTTTTAGAATCGAAGGTTGTGTGTGGATAAAGGAGTGTTAGATTTCAGCTGTCACAAATTACATAAACTTGTGTTATTGAATCATGGGACTGATAAATGATTATGATATATTATATATTATTTTCGAATTTTTAGTCCATTTATAAAAGCTTTGTATATTAAAAATTTTTTTTTCTTTTATTTATTTTGTTTTTACTTTCCAACAGCAAAACTGGCTTTGAAAATTCTCACAGCCACAGCAAAGAAATGCACTTTCAAACGCTGCTTCCAATTAACTACATATGTCGTTCGCGCTCTCAATTTCTTTTGCGAATTACCCCGTCTACACGCACATTCTTCATTCGGTTTTCCAGTTCATCGTTGTTATTTTAATTTTTGCTTTCATTTATTTATTTTTATTACAACGCTTTTATCAACTTGTAATCTTGTGTGTCGAGACCAACATTTATACTATAAATATAGCAAAGGTATTTATGGCAAACCTAGTCTAAAAATCAACGTCGTCGTACGTATCATATTAAAGACATACAATTAGAAAAACTCTAGAGGTAGATGACACCCCGTCAGAAGTTAAATATTGCGCCTAAAAATATGCACAACATACGCTACAGCGGAAATGTACGACACGCCATTTCTTTAAATGAATGAAAGAGATATGGGCATTTCTCAGAAACTTCGAATTTTTCCGTGAAATTTTTTTTTTCAAATCGTGAGCACTTGTCTGAAATTTTTAGTACACTTTCCTTCAGCTGCTAGAATACGAAATGCGACGTGGTGCAACGTTTTGAAGCAATGCACCAAAGCTAATTTTGTTTATACGAAAAACTATCATAAATTCATGAATATGGAATAGATACTTACCATCGCATACTGCAGCGTTTTTTTTTTTGTTTACAGGAATTGTTTCTCAATAATAAGATCCTACTGTGGACAATTACAAATCACAAAATGATAATCTACAGCGTTTTTCAATCAGCTGTAAGTTTTCGCATATCTGGGAAAACTTTGCGGATAAACTGAGTAATGTACTAATTGATTAGTTCACAGATGAAGCTCAATGTACATATTTCCAAGAATTACCCACTGAGTCGCGCGTCTATCAAAATTTAACGCTTCTAGATGAGGGCCTACTCAAATAACTTCAAGCTTAGCACACAGCTAAAATTTCAAGCTCAAGTGTAATTTTACCCCCTTTTTTCCATGAATTAAAATTTTCAAAAGCGTCCATTCATTATATATTCTGACGATGATATTTCACGATATTCAGGGAAATTGAAATATTTTCGAATTAAAAAATATCTCACTCATAATTTTTTACAGTTGAATATTATGAAAATGCATGCATGAAGTTTTCCCAATTAGGAATCAAACAAAACATCAGAGGATTTAATGTTGTGCGTGGGTATTGTTTGGTTATTTGTTTTGAGCGAAGGGGGAAGAGGTGGTGCACTCCAGCCATTAGAAAGTGCACAGTATAAACTTGAAGAAAAGTCAACGTTCGCCTCCCTGCCCTTTCTACAAGCACTTGGGGGGCCATTATAAAAGGGGGTAAAATTGCAATTTTCACAAAGAAAAATTGAGCTCGCGTTGGGCCATCAGCAGCGTATTTGCGCAAAACTCCTTTCTGCGTTGGTGGTCTTCGACCGGGCCGGAAAAAATAACCTCATCAGTCCAACTCCGGTTACGCCATCCACATTATTTTTCTACCACAAAAAATGCATATTTCAAACCGAAATCTTAGTTTTAAATTAAAGTTTATTCTAGACGTACATATGTACACTCTAAACCATTTTGGCAAATTTACGTCGATAATGGTAAGCAATATATATATAAGTGATTCTATATATTCATACGTATCTTTTTCCAAATGTGATCGAAATGAGCCTGTATTAGTAAATGGTTTCAAACACGAAAATATTCGATTTTTAGAAAAATGCACTTCATAAGCATTATAGCTTGAACATTTTTTCTTGCATTTCGGAAACAAATACTCAAACATATTACAATTTAATTCCCTATGCGCATATTAATGCAAATGGTAACTCTTTAATTTACAAAACTGCTTAGCATACACTTTGCACACAAACATTTCCAAAATATTTATAGAACTATGAACTTATAAAAAAAATACCATTAACTGCTTTTATAAATATATATTTATTATGCCAATTTTCCACCGAAGAACACCAACAATTAAAAATTTGCTCACACTAAACCGACTGACGCGACGATTTCACAACAAATAAAGGTTTACTGCTATTTCATGAGAAAAACGATTATAACGGCCCGTCTCCACAGGCAAAAGTTTTTGCCTACCAACTGTCATTTTTATTGCCTGATAAAAATTTTATCAGCGGCAATATTTGTGCGTGGGCATTTTTTATCTTGATAAAAGCATTTATAAGATGGCAATTTTTGCCAGATTTCATCAATTAAAAAGTTTAAAAAATATGCTATTTCACACCCAAGCAAATAATAACACATATTTTAATAGAAAACAGTTCAATTTTTGCTTTTATATTGAAATATCGATAATGTTGTCTCCACGAAGCTATCGCGCAAATGAAAATGTAGCTGTCAAAGTACCAAATTGCTGGCAATATTTATCAAGATAAAAGCTCTGATAATTATTGCTTGCAAAGAGCAATATGCGGTCTCCATGGGAAAAATTTTGCCTGATAACATTATCAAGATAAAAACTTTTGCCTGTGGAGACAGCAAGTTAGTGTGTGAAATCAAACATTATGTGTGCTTTTAGACACTTCGTGCATAAAATTTAGACATTTTGGTTGTAAACATTAATATTGCACACTTTTTATAAGAATATTAGACAATTTGTTTGTTTTTCACATAAGAAGGTGCAAAAATGCCTGAATTTACTCCTTTTGTAGTCTTAATTTTATGCAAATGTTTTAGAGTGTATCTATTAAAATTTTTTGCATTCGGGTCACGCGTTTGGACATGATAACCCAAAATCATTGTACAAATAAGCGAACCGTACCCCATCTGCAGTAGTATTCATCTTACGTGGATAATGCCTGTCACAAATATGTACATAGTTTTGTGCTTATTTGTTCTATGTATGTATATATATTTTTTAGCAGCGTCACATTCCGAGAATCCAAAAAGTTACAAGTTGCAGGGCAGCATTTTAACTCGACCTCCTCCCTGTTTCACGTAAAACGGTACGATGTTTACTTATACAAACTGAAACTTTGTGATGAAGTATTGAAATTTTATTTTAAAGCTACCTGGAAATCAAAAAGCCGATTTGAAAATTTTTGAAATGATTACCAATTTATTATGGCTGCGTTTCTTTAAACATTCCAGATAAGGCCATTTCGCATCCAGAATAAACAGAATGCGTTTGAAATATACGTTAACATATCATCAGGAACGTTCTAAAAAAACAAAAAAAATTTATTCCAAACGTTCAGAATGAATAAAGAAATTCCGCCAATATATCTACATTTTTACTGGGTAGAAATTTACTCCCTAATTAGTTAAAAAGGAATAATAAACTATATTGACTCATTAATTATTGTAGCTATCTTTATATAATATTCGCAATATTCCTTTGAAATTTCTTTGCATTTTTTTTTATAAAAGTAGAGCTCATTATCTAACAAAAACTATATGAATCCAAATTCCAAACTTTTGCAAAAATTAAATAAAATCAACAAAGTTTAATTGGAATTGCAAGCTTTTTAGTAAAAATTTCTGGAAATTATCGGCGTACTAAAACACGCATGCAAAGCTATTTAATTTAATTAATCTTTTCTTTTTCACATAAAAAGCGTCTGCGCGACATTTTCCGAGCATCCAAACATTGAGCTTAACAGAAAAAGCAGTCAGCCTTAAATTACGAATTATATAGTATATAGTTTAGTACAAATAATTGTATCGTTGAACCTAATATAAATTTTATAACTATGTGTAATATTTTTTCATAAACATTATCTATTTGGGAAGAGTGTCAAAATACTTATTGAGCAAAGTTTCATTTACGTAAACAAAAGCCCATTTCATTAATGGATTGTTAAGGACACACCTATCAACAACAACTTGATGGAAATCAGGCCGAGCTTCTAAGCAAAAATTCCTGTTTTTCCCGTAAACCAGCCACTGCATTTTACGGTTATAATACCACAACTGGTCGGTATCACCAATGTGGCAATCATAGATCAACACCATTGAGTTTCCCTTTCTCTGTGTTGTCTGCAAGCAGTAGTCTTCACCACGCATGCGCAAATCATGATTTTCACTTAGGGACCAGTCCTGATTGCGGCTGGGAAACAACGCGTCCTCCTCACACTGCTTAATTCCGATCGGCCCGTAGTCCGGTGGGCCTAATGTGTCCAGACAAAGATCCGGTGCTCCCACACTACGCACTTGACCAAATGCAAAATCGGCAGTGCCTCTCGGGGGATAATGTTTCACCAAATCAAAAGCAACATTCTCCATAAACCACTTAAATGATTTACAATTTAAATTCTGCCGCACTGCTTTTTGCTCTGTTAAATCGCCTTCTTTGATTTTTTCGTACAAACCTGGTGCATGCTGATAGACATACTTTTTGTAGTCGTCCATCCAGACCTCAACAATGCGTTTATAGTTCTGCAAAATGAAGTAGGTATGTACACACATACATGTATGCTTATATAAACGTCCTTACTTATAGAGCTTACCTTATGTAAGTAGTCGCCTTTACGATTATTTGGTACACCAGGCCATTTATCATTTCGAAAAATATGCCCGACACGTGAGCATGGCACATCCAGTAGTCTTCCGCCACACATCCAGATCTTAAAACTTAAATCGTACTGCTCTCCACCCCATATATCTAAACCATCATCGTATCCTCCCAACTCCCAAAACCATTCTCGTGATATAGAGAACAAACCACCCGCCATGATAGGATTCTCGAAAGGTTTTGTGGGATCTTTCAAATCCCGTTCCAACATAGGAAGCCGCTTGTAATCGAGTGTCCAATCGAATGCGCCACGTGCACCTTCATCTTGAGCAGTATACGCGAAGGTTTCGTCGTTAATCACATCGATCATGGGGCATACAACTGTTCGCTTATCTTGCGCAATTAGATGCAGCAGTGGAGGCAGCCAATTATAGTTGGCCTCTATGTGTGAATCCATGAAAACCAAAACGTCCCCGACAGCCTTAATTGCGCCAGCCAGACGCGCCAAGATCAGTCCCTTTCGCTTTGGTAATCGTATAATATCTACTTTCGGAAAATACTTTTTAACATATTCGTCGAGCTGTGTCTTTAACTCGACTCGATCGCTAAAATCATCAACGAGTATTATTTCTTTTATCAACTCAGGTGGCGTACGATTGGCAACACTATGCAAAGATCGTAACAAAGCGCTGAAGTGTTCGTTGTAGAAGGGTATTATTATGCTAACAGTTGGCAAATCGGCAAAATATTTCATCATTCGGCATCTGAAATGAAACGTTTCATAAAACTTTATTTGAAAAAAGATGATAATCGGTTTTGAAAAGAACATGGCATAATTTTGTATCACCTATGAGTCCATGACGGCCAAAGTTGGCTATCTATAATAAAAAAATTAGATATTGTTGTATTGTCGTTTTTCCATATCAGGTCGTTTTCGCAAGATATTTTAATTTTTTTTTTTGAAAAGAGGACAAATTTTAACAAGGAAGCAATTAAAACCAGTAATTTTTAAGCGAAAATAAAAACCGACTTCAATTCTCATATATAAAATTTAAGAGTACCGTTAATTTCTACATCTAAACCAAATTAGTATGCGACTGCCTCTGAGGTACCACCTTCCCTTCAAAAGAATAATTATAGAAATCGGTTGTCGGGGCTCAAAGTTAGGCGGTAACCTTAATAAACAAAAAATATCCCGAAGAATTGATAACCTCCTACTTTTTTGAAGTCGGTTAAAAATAAAAAAATATTTCGTATTTCTTTTCATTTGTATTAAAGCGTGTCCCTAACAATGAAAATCGATGTTATTTATCCATGGTTGTGAATTACCAAATGAAATGTGCAATAATTTTTTCATGAAGTAGGAGCAGGAAATAATGTTACTCATACGCAGTGTTGCCAGGACCTCGTCATGAGAACACGTCCTCCTGGTCTGAAAAAAACGTCATTTCCTACCCAAAAACGTCTTTATCAAATGAATGTACAAAAAATTGTTTTTATTAAAATTTTATTGTATACAAAGGTACATATGTACGTAAGGTATATTAAAATGACAATTCAACAGAGTATGCAGTTTGATAGCCCATTAAATTTCAGGGCAATAATGTGCAAGTTTAAAAAGGCGTTGGTTTTTATTTTTTATTTTTTTTTCTTGTAGACATTTGGTTAGGGGCTCGGTTGTCGAAAACGCTAAATTACGTTGTGCTAGGAAGGAGCATAGCATTATTTCAGCCTTTTTTGCATTCCTTACATTTTCAATGAAGTGTTAAAAAAGTCGCCTACATTTTTCTGACGTTTTATGCCGCACAGCTTTTTTGATGTTTTTGCGAGCGTGCGTGTTGCAATAGATCGGCTCTAACATTACAGCAAGCCTCATAACCTGAAGTGTTTACACAACCAGCCTTTGAACACGGAATTCTTAGTCCAAGAATCCAAAAAAAAAGGCTTTTAAAGCAGCTGCAGCAAAACGCAAAGAATGTAAAGATTTATTAAGAAAATAATTCAAAATCAGTTCTACTTACAAGATTTAGTAACAAAGAACAATTACTGGGAAGTTAAAAAACGTAATTTTTGACACAAAAAATGCCCAAACGTCAACAGGATACAAAAAACGCCCAAATGACGTTAAAAACGTCAACCTGGCAACGCTGCTCATGGCCCTACTCATCCATGCTAGTACGATGTTTCCACGTTTCATAATTCGCTCTCTAATTAATTCGCTAAGTAATTCGTGAGTTACCCTGTTTCCACGTCACACATTAGTAATTCGTTGGCAGCTCTACTTCCTGTTCTTGTTCTTCGCTATTTACTATTATTTTTGTGTACTGAAAATATCGAAGATGGAGCAAAAATTTAATTCATCAAAGATTTTAAATTATATAGAGAATATTTTGTTAATTATTTTCCAGCAACTAGAAAAAGCGGTAGAAATGCGACCAGGGGTTTATACTTCTAAATATATATCATCAAAAAATAATGAAAATTCGCATCAGATAATACGCTCTTTAAAATACATTTATGCATGTTTTATGTACAGAATGTAATAAATAAATAAACTTTTTAAGGTTTCATAAGTTGCATTTTATTTACATGAAATCTAAAAAGAACTCAAACATTTTCAACCGGCTTCAAAAAAGGGGAGGATATCAATTCTTCGGAGTATTTTTTCTTCTTCTTCTTCTTCTTTCTTTTTTTTTACCGGAAAGATGGTGCCTTAAGGGTCGTCCTTTAATTTGGTTTAGATCCGATCATTAAATCATGAAAAAATTAACGGTACTCCTAAATTTGTATATAAGATTTGATAAAAAGTTCTATAAACACAAGATGCACTCAACCTTCAAAAGTAATACACAATTTTACAAAAGAAAATTAATATAAATAAATTAAATAATTCCATGAAATTTTTACACTTATATGTTAATTTTCGTCGATTTCTGGTTTCTCTTTTTTTAATACTTCGAATACCGAAAATTTAACCGAACTTGTATTTTCATGTAGCTCATTTTGGTGGAACGAATTCGAAGTTAGCAAATTAAATCTTCGAATGCTTGTTGAGTTCAAATCAGTGGTAAACTGTTTTAAGCTGTAAAGTGTAAAACAGTAGTGAGTATGCGTTGCATACTTTTAGGACAATGTTTTCATTCGCAGTTAAACTTTAAAGAGCTCTCAAGAAACGCGAAAAAGTCTTACAAAATGACGCACACGAAATGGAAAAGAAATTTTCTTCTATCAAAATTTCTTAAATCAGTTGCAGCTCTCAAGAAAAAAATGCTCTTTTATTTATTTCTTCAAGAAAATTTGCTTTTTCAAGCAACAGAAATTATAAGAAATATTTCTTGTGGTTTTCTTGAGAGTTGGCTTCAAAGCTTTAAGATACAGTTTGTAATTGAGATTAAGAGNTATAAGAAATATTTCTTGTGGTTTTCTTGAGAGTTGGCTTCAAAGCTTTAAGATACAGTTTGTAATTGAGATTAAGAGCTTTGGGGGGGTTTAAACCCCAAACCCCACCCCTTGTGTGCGCTAATGCTAAGAGCTCATATTTACTTAACTTTTAACACTTTGTGTGTAGTTTTTCTCTACGTGACAAATTTGGTATGTAAAAGTAAACAGACAGTGTTTAATTTTGCACACACTAGGGGAGGAATCTGGTTACTTCTCTTTGTATGCGTAAATTTAAACAACAATTTTTTAGATGAAATTTTGAACATTTTATGTGTAAACTGTGAAATTGTGAACAACAAATGTTTAGTGGTTACTTAAAAAACAAATTTGAAATTTGTTCTACGCCACACATAGAATAAGTAAAAGTAAGCAAGCAGTGTTTAATTTAATTAACACGGTGTGTAAATTTGCATTCATTAAGAGAGGAAACTAGTTACCTATCTTAATATGCGCAAATATCAACAAACAAATTTTAGAGTGTGTCCAATAACTAATGGGAGTTGTAACAAAATTTTACTTAATTGAATTAAACACTTAGGCACTTCGCACATTACTCACTTAATCGTTTCGTCATGCTGAAACGATCTTAAGAGGACATCTCTTCTGCACACTTGAGCGTCGTTTTCTATAATGCAATTAAACTTTGTCATGTCTGCGATTTGCAACGGTTTCACCGAAAATCATAAATTATTATTAACTTTCTCTTCTTAATTGAAAGAAGAAAGAAGTTGTGGGAAAAAATACTTCGGCAACACAGAAATGAGAATTGTACTTAGTAAGAGTACATAATAAACAATTGTCTATATCCACATCGTGGGGTGGGGTGCAATAACACCATGCGCAATAAGGCCATATATCCATTTTATTTGGAATTAAAACCATATGACGTTATTTCCAATCCAGAAGTGAAACAAAGTCACATTCAAAATTGTACAAATGAGTAATAAAGTCATAATTGAAAAGAACTTCTCAAACAATATAGACGCAATTTTCTCGATTTAAGTTGTTGCAAAGTAATGAATATCCAAACCCCGGGACTAACCCCAAGTTCCCGGGACTGTGATAACGACATCCCGAAAATCCCGGGTTCGTAAACAGCGAAAAAATTAACATCCCTAATGTTCACGTAGCATTCTCATTGGGGCATTGAGTTTAACGAGATCTAAAAGGACAGAACAGTCAATTGCTCCACTCAAAACATCATGTAACACCATTAGGCCAGAAATAATTCGTCTACTGCGAAGTGTATGTAAATGTATACAAGTTTGCAACGCGAAATATAAGGAGAAAAACGATTTGCAAACCTAATTTGGGCTAGACCAAATTTTAAAAAACTTTTCTGAACCCGTTCTATCCTTTTATGGTGAATTTCATAAGTGGGATTCCATATGAGAGAGGCATATTCAAGTTTAGACCTAAGAAAGGCAGAATACAAAATCTTTCTTGTATATGGGTCCTTGAATTGTGCACTATTAGGTTTTTTGGAAAAAAAATAAAACATTTCGTTCCCGCATTATGTTTCGTAGTTATCTTCATATTATAAATTTCTATCCAAAATTGCTTTAATTTTTGAACGCCTTAATGCACTATTTTTATATACATACATACATACAACATATAAATGTATATCGATAAAAGGCGAAAATATCGTGCTGCGTTCAAAACTTATTTTACTGAAATCCTGGGGAGCTTTTGATTGCCTAAATATTTTAAATGATTCTCTAAATAATTAAACGCAATAATTGTTGACAAAAAAAGTCAACGCCATTTTTTATCAATGGAAATTGTTAAATTAAAAAAAAGTACAAAAAAACCAGCGGCAAAAAAATAAAAAACAACGGAAATTTTTAGCTGCACACTGTTGGTTATACTAAAATTCCATGGGCTATAAAACTCCATACCATAAATTGTTTTAAAAATTCAGACTATTGAATTTTTATGAATGTTGCATATACACTAGTGATCAGCAAATTAAGGCATCGATATTTTTATAAATTTTGGCCATTTATCTTTTGTTTATTTAATGTTTATTATTTTTCCATAAAAGTCTAGCTCATTATATAACAAAAACCCCTTAGCAAACATCCCCTTAATACCTAAAAACTTAAAAACTATTTTTTTTCGAGTTCACCCAAACGACTTTACCGACCGAAGTCGGAACGACGCACACTGGGGCCGCCCCATATTAGCTCAAAATTCTAAAATCATTTTCTTTCCATTAGACTCGCTAGCTTTCGATGCAGAATGGCAGGCAATTCGAAACCACATCGAGTTTTCGTATCTCCCGAACAATTTCAAAAAATTGACTTGGCAATTGAAAAATAAGAAGGTATTTACTTATTTTTGCGTATCCAGTGCAGCGTCGTGAATAATTTTTGGAGTGGAATCGTCAGCTTTAAACATCAAAATTGGAATTTTCCCTTCATGTGGCATCAGTGCATTCCGAAAATATTTAGCCTTAGCACAAATTAATTGCTTTTATTAAGTTATTTCTTATGTCATTCGATCAACAACTTCTTGCGGTTCTTAACTACAATGCTCTTAGGCAAGCAAAAAAACTAATGTTAATATCACGGCAAAATTTAAAAAAGTGACATTCTGGAAAATTCGGACGGACAATATTATAATTGAGTGTCCAGATTTGGCGATTTAGCGCCAATTTGGTGATTTTTTTTTTATATTTGCTCGTAAAAATTTAGCAAATCGCCATTAGCGATTTTTGGAGATTTTTTCCTTGTGTGTGGTTGTTGTAATCTAAATTCGCCAGCGACACCACCTTGCATAAATTCGCCTTGGGCTTACACACTTAAAAACAGCTTTGTAGGTGGCTTATTATTATTGGGATCGTATAATGCTATGATTTTTCGTTTTTACCACCATACAAAAAATTTAAAAAGTGGGGACAAGAAAATAGCACTTTGTTTGGAAATTACCTATATATATTTATAAGTCCACATACCCACGGAAACGTATATCCGGCACTGAACGATTAACAGAAATCACATCTGATAACAACGCATTAAACCCGTTTTTTTTGGTCATTTGTTGTTTCAGCTGCAGCTTCGATGGATCATTAATGTATGCCGGTTCACCGCGCTCGCCAGTTCCTGTGCGAGTTGCTTCTCTTTCCATGGCGTCCACATCGTGCCAGTCCTTGAATTGAGCTCTAGAACTCTGCAATATCTGCTCATTTTTCTGCCAAAATGAGTATTTTTTTATTTCTTGGGCTTCTTCTTCATTAATAGCACGTTGTATTGGGATCACTTGAGATAAGAGAACATAAGTTGCGAGACCGATTGTAAAAATGCACAAAAGTCGAACCCCACTAGAAGCACGTATTTTCCGTTTCATTTCATTTACTCAAAACCTTAAGCGACACAACGGACATACAGCTTGTCTTAAACTGAACTGAAACTTAAATTCCATTTTTGGAGAAATTTCAACCTGGTTTTCCGAAGAAATTTATCATCTACCAAAAGCCATATTGTATTTTCACCTGAGTAAATAACGTCGTAAAAGTAAATGGATAAATTTCTAACAGTGCATGTAAATAGATACATACAAACATATATATGTACATACGTTTTAAAACTTAAGTTATTTCGGTCAATGCTACCTTATACAAATGCAAACATGCATATGTATATATATACATATATGTTTACATATACCTATGTGCATATGTACACTTACGATCAAAAAAACACGGACAATTTTTTAGCTGTTACTGCGCTTCTACTGTAACTAAAGCTACGTAACGAAATTTTTTAGTTTTTGTAGTGACCATTGATAAATCCTTAAGGCCCCATCAGTGTTGCCATATTATAGCCATAACCATACCCATGGCAATTATCTGTTCCAATGAAACATATAGGCAGCTCTGTAAACGATTACACTGTGCGGTCGAGATTCAAAAGTGCGGCCAAAATTCGAAGGTTCAAAGAAATTTCGTACAAGGGGTTACGAATCCGTAGTCAGAATTTCAAAATACGAAATGGCGCATCCAGTAAGGCGTCTGGTAAATTTCGGGCTTTTGAATTAGAATTCTTAGAAATATTTTGAGTATGCAGTTTTATAGCCCACAGTTTAGTCTTACAAATTGCAAGTTTGCAGTAACAAGGAGTTACCTTTGAATTTTGAGATTTTTTGTTGACTGTGCCAGTTTTTTTCTTTCATACGAAGTGTGTTCGATGATATGAAGAAATTGAGCAACACCTTCAACAATAAAAAAATTCAAAAATCAACCCTAAGTCCCAGCTTCTTTTAACTTGCACTTTATTACACTTAAATTAAAAGGGGCACAAAACTGCATGCCAAAACAACTCTCGAAAATCTGATTAAGATATTTCAAATATTCATGAACATTTGTTAAAATTCGTCGAATTGATATAAATGTTCTACAAATTTTGAAATTTTGATTTACATGTTTTTTTTAAGATAGTAAGAAATATTTCCATAAAAAAATAAAAAATATTTTTTTACTTTTTTTTCTTTATTTTGTTTTAAATAAAACTCTATTAAGCCTTTTTATTCTAAAAACAAAATTGTATATTCGGATTCGAGGCTTTAGAAATGTCCTAATTTTTGGCCACCAAGACGTCTGCTTTTTAAATAATTTTTGTAAAAGAGACTTAACTCTGCATTATAGCTGTAAAACTATCGATAGTCAGCCCATTCGATGTTTTCGATAGTTTGCATTGAAACTACCGATAATATCGGATAATTTTAAAATGCATATATGAAGCCTTTTATATAAAATTTTTCGTTTCTTATAGTCCCTGAAGAATTATCTTATTGTTATATAGCATTTTCCAATAACTTTGTCCTTTTTCTTCGACTATTCAAATATTTTAGACCATAATATGAAAAGCCAAAATACCCAATATTAGAAAAACAAATTCGCTTATAAACGTAAAGAATATTGTATGTATTAGAAAAAAGCACAAAAAATCATACACATACAATCAATTCAATATGTTTAAATTTAATTTCTGTATACAAGTCGTAAGAATATAAAGCAATTACAGCATACAAAACATGAACATTTGTTCAGTAATGGTAATTATGTTGAGCACATATATTTCAATTCTAACAAGACGCTTAAAAACATTGTTGAGCTTAACATAACGTTTGTTTATAAAACACAAGAGCATAGCGCGTAAATATTACTCAGCTTATGGACTAACAGTCGGATAAAGTATCACAAGTATTAATCAAAACAAAACAAAATCTTATATGTAGAAGAAAAATATTAAATACATACTTATCTTATATAGTACTGATAATAACATATCACAAGTATTAGTTAAAACAAAACAAAAACGTATTCAGTCATATCATTCATATAAATTAATCAAAACAATTGGGGTATCCAGGCCAAGACTGGAAATCTACAACTTTTACCACGTATTTTGCTATATTCTCAAATAACCGTATAAACTAAGACCGCGTTACCAAGGGTAAAGGACTCACAGTTTTATCAGATCTATTATTAAATTCAACTGCTTTCAATTTATTTTATCAAATGATCGAAAGAAAAAAATTGCGTTCAAAGTTTCACGCTTTACCAAAATCCGAAGAAAGTTATTATACATTGGTGGTCAAAACTATAACATCAAGACAAATTTCTAATTTTTAACTATTAATTTTTCATTAACGCGAATTTGGGCTACTTGAAACTTGCACGTTGTTATATTAAAATTTAATGGGCTATAAAACTGCATACCCAGAATTTATCTAGAAAATATAGAATAAATATTGATTAGTTGATGGACTTCTTATACATTTTTTACAAAGTTTGTAACTTTGAGTTACATGTGTTTTTGTTGTAGTTAGAACTATGTATATTTTTATAAAGAATAAAAATTAATGGCTAAAACTTAGAAATTTGTCGTGTTGTTATTTTTTATACCTCTTGTATAAAAGCTACATTATTCTATCAGCCAATAGTTCTTGTTGATGAAAAGCAGTTGATCTATATTCTTAAAGCCTGATTATGGCATCTTAACCTAACTTATTGGAACGTAAAGCTTAGGGAATCAAAATGAAACAGATTTCGGCGTGGCTTTAAGATACGTTAAGTTAAGGCTGTTCAATTATAAGCAACATCCATTAAACAGAACCATAACAGACCATAAGGCTTCAATGTCGATCTTCTCTGAGAAACAATTAAACCGGCTTTACTGAAAAGTCGAAGTCGCCGATATACAGAAATAGCGCATCACACATACTTTCAGAGTTTCCAGATTTATATTGGTTTAAAAGAAAAATAACAAATCTTGACTATATGGCAGTGCAAGAAAATTTTATTTATATAATACCTTCCAGAAATCTAACGGATTGGAGTCTGGATTAGTATTTGGCATTTCTAGGTACTGTCGTATGCTACTTATTGCATCCGCTCTACTTGACTTTACTTTTTAGGCAACTTTACTTTCTAAAAATTTGAAGAGGCTGGATTGTAGCCGCGAAGAAGTTCCTGATGTTGGCGGTTCAGCGACGTCTGGAATATTGGTTGCAGGATGTAAAGATGCAAGTTCATTTTCTAAGGCTTTTTGTGCCAGCTCCGCGTTGTTAATTGAGCGAAATCCTTCCTTCTTGAACCACGGATCAAGCAATGTTCCCAACCTTGTGACCGAACGTTCTTCGTAAACAAACATCATTTTCTTTAGCCGTTCAATAATAAAGACACAGGCGTCAAATGCTTCAACGGTTTTTAATTTGCTTTTACACTCTTCAAGGCTTTGAAGAATTCCATAAACAATAGGTATAGGCAATGAAATTGTAACATTAGTGCTTGATGATGCAAGTACAATGGCATTCTCAAAAGGTTCAAGGATTTCTCTCATATCAGTTAGGATTTCATTTTCATCCGCAGTCAATGGCAGCGGAGCTTTTGATGTACTAAGCAGCACAAGAGAAATTGTGTCTTTTGTAAGTAAAATTCTGTCAATCATTTTGTAAGCGCTGTTCCAACGCGTCGGTATCTCCTATATAAGGTTGTACGGTTTTTCCTTTCCTTGTGCTCCTTTGAACTTTTCATAAGCTATTGTACTTGATTTAAAATAAGTTACGAGTTTTTTACATTTCAATAATTGTGATAAGCATTCTTGAACAACTAAATTAAAAGTGTGAGCGAAGCAAGGCAACTGTCGTTTCTGAAGAAGTTCACAAGCTTTTACCATAGAGTGCACACAATTTGCCATTCCTCAAAAATTGCGCGTAATGGTGTTGCGTTTTTTTCAGCAGAGTGGTTAGATTCCACGAGCAGTTTTTTAGTGGACAAAACTGTTGTACGCAATTTGAGATTGTCCGTCATGAAATGACATGTTACCGTCAGGTAACCCTCATTCGCGGCTGACGTCCAACCATCTGTAGTCACTGCATAATACTCAACGCGGCCAAGACCGGTTTTCAACTTTTCTTTAATGTTTGTATGCAAATCTTTCATTAGTACTTTCTGGAAGGTTATTCGGGATGGCAACACATAACGGGGATCTAATATCTTGACAAATTGCTGAAACCCCGTGTCCTCCACAATCGAAAATATTATTGTTATTAATATTCTAAATATTTTAAACAAAAACGCGAAACGGGTTCACTAGTAGTTCATAACATATAAAAATGTTATTCGTATCTACATGAGTGTACACATCATCGTACACAGGAGCCAATAAATTATTTTATA